CCTTCTTGGCATCTGCTCCATGGAAGATGGTATGTATCTGAAAGTCAGGCATGATTTAGGTGAGGTGGAGAGGAGTCCCAGAAGATGAAGGCAACCGTCCGCAAGCCGTGGAAAGACAAGCTGCCTCCAGCTCCTGTGCTCTGTTCCCATGACACTGTTACTGGTAGCGTTAATAACTAACCACATCCCAGACAGGTGCTGCCGGCCTGGCCTTTTGGAGTTCTTGTTCAGGATTGGAAGTGAGTCACTTCCCTTTTTTATAGTCTGCTAGCTGACTGAGTCACCCCGAACCGACCCTTTCACACAAGTTCTCACTCTGGCCGACTCACATACATGGCCATACCTTAGATCTGCCTACTTTCCAGTCAGCTGGGCCTTGTGGCGCCGACCCTTGGTGGTCCCTGTGAGTGACCATCTCTCTGTATCCCTTCCTCCCCCCACACGCCCCCTTCCCCATGCTCCCTCATCTGGGACAGTAGACTTACTGTCCCAAGGAGTCTGACTAGCTCTTTTAGAAACATGGGGCCTAACCTGTGGGTCCCATGCCTGAGGCCCAAAGAGGATGGACTTAGCTGAGTTCAGATCCCCCAGAACACACATAAAAAGCCAGGTAATGATGAGAGGTAAAGAAACTGGAGAGATGGCTCAGTGGTTAAGAGCACTGGCTGTTTAGAGGACCTGGTTCAATTCCCAGCACCCACATGGCAGCTAACAACCATCCATAAATCCGGGGGAAACTGATGCCCTCTTGTGACCTCCACAGGCATTGCACGACACAGATGCACCTATCTACATGTAGGCAATATACTCATACATATAAAATAAAAATAATAAATAAAAAAAGATGAGAGGTAGTGCTAGATGGATCCCTGGAGGGCACAGGCCAGTTAGTGTGACCTGTATAACAAAGTCCCAGGCCAATGAGAGACCTTGTCTCAAACAAAAAGGTGGAAGGGGAGGGGGGAGGGAGCAGGGTGGTGAGAAGCAGGCTCAGTGGGTAAAAGTGCTTGTCACCAAGGCTGAGTTCAATCCCTGGCATCCACATGTGGAAGGAGAGTCCCATAAAGTGTCCTCTGAACATGCCTAGACACACACACACACACACACACACACACACACAAATAAATGTAAAAATAAATAAGTAATTTTTTAAAAGATGGAAGGCACCAGAGGACTAGTATCCAAGCTTGTTTTCTGATCTCTGAATACTCATTAGGTACATACCCAGTCACCCACACACCCCAAACATACATGCAAGACTACAAATGGAAAGTCCCAGAACAAAAAGACACAACTGTAATGCAAATGGGTCAGTTTATCACTCTCCAGAAAGGCAGGCTGAATCCCATGGCTATAAACAGCTTGCTCACTGTGTGTTGAGTGGCCCCTGAGGCCAAGGCCCCAGGTACTCAGGCTGGGGAGGTGACTCTGGTGTAAACCTCTAAGGAGAGACACCAAATACAAGCTACCCGATTAAAAGAAAATATTCCAAGGCAAGATTTTCCCCCACACTCATTGGATGTCATAATGTTAAAAACTGGAAATAGAGACTGAGAGGGAGAAAACAAATATATAAAAATTTAATTTGAAAAAACAAAGATCATCCTCCCCCAAATAGTTTGGGGATTTAGGGTTGTTTTTGTCATTGTTGTTGTTTTGTCATTGTTGTTATCCCCAGAAAGTCCCTCTGGCTGCTACCTGGCTTTTAAGACTGACAAACAGCCCTCAGGTGGAACAGGGCTCCAGGCAGCCATAGACTGGCAGCGGGAAACAGACAACACTAGTTCTTTGCTCAGAGCTGAAACTCAGGCAGGAGAGGGACAGCAGAGGCTGACCATGTGCTGGGTCACTGGGTTTCCTTGCTAGATCAGCCTTGGCCTTTTGAGTAAACTCCACTTGCTCTGTAATCTCAGTGCCCGGTGCTGTATTCCTGGGCTCTCATACTTCCCCACCTCACATGTGCCAATGCCAAGTTCATCCCAGGGCTCGGGCTCGGCAAGCTGCAGCTGGCTGTCTCACATCCATGCTGCACCCCAGACTTTCCACACTGCCTTCTAAAACACATCTGCCACCGCAGTGTCTTCTGTTGACCTTCCTAAGGTGACAGGGTCTTCCGCTGGCCCCACACATCTTGCATGCAGCATCTGAGACAACAGCCAAGCTAAGTTACAGCCATGGAACTGAGGGTCCACATGCAGGGAGGCCAGATAGCCAAAGACTCCACCCCAGAGCTGGCTCAGGTATGCAGTGAGTCACTAGCCCTGACCTGTGTCCATGATGTCTGTCCCAGGAGAGAGTGGGAGGCCTGGAGATGGAGCCTGATGCAGGGCACAAACCACAGTGACTCACAGTTTGGATCCCGTGGGGAAGTTCCACCGTCCAGTCCCTGGGATGGCACTGGTCCCTGGCTGAACTCATCTCTGCACTGTGACACGCAGACCAGGGCTTGCTCTAGCACCCAGCTTTTACCCTCTTGATTCCAATCCTGGTGGAAGTTGTCATCTGAGGAGCAGCTCCTCCCTCATCACACACACACACACACACACACACACACACACACACACACACACACACACACACACACACACAGGATGGATGGAGCTGAGGAAAGAGCATGTCTTCCCCTGGTGTCAGATTTTTCATCAGTTACAATAGTCCTTCCTCATGCTGACCTCACACAAGAGCCTTGGGGGCTATGAGGCGGTGATGTAACAGCTCTTTGAAAGGAAACACACGAAGCCAGCGCTCGGGAGTAATCCCATTAGATTATTGTTTATGACTACTGCTCCAGGGACCTGGCCGTCAGGCTGCCATCTTTCCCCAGCTCCCTGGGCCACTGAGGCAGAAGGGCAAGGGTGGAGAAGTGTCCTTACAAGTTGTCCAGAAACACACCTGGCCTGGCTGGAATACACAGGTAGATTCCACTCTCCCTCTTACAGGTGTTTTCAAAGGAGCATGCGATGTATGTCTGTAAGGCATCACCAGGGTCCTCAACTACCTCTTCCATCACACATGGGACCCACGGAGAGACCTTGCAAAGATGGATACCAGGCATTCCTTCTCCACACAGACACAGGCATTAACTAACTGCCACCAAGGCCAGGTCCTCGTGCAGACATTCTCAACTCCTCTGCCTGCAGCGTGAACTTGGAGCACTCTGAGTCTGCCCCTCCTTGATGGCTGTCGTTGCATGACAGCTGACCTCATTCACTTCTGCATCTGTCAAACTGCCTAATCTTGGAGGGAAGAGCAAGGTGAGAGGGAGGCACAAGGTGGCAGGACGGGGAAACAGAGAGAGGCTGGAAGCCCACAAAGGAAGGTCCTCAGCTGTGTTTGCTGCCTGGGGGGCTGATGGTGTCACTGTCAGGTGTCCCTTGAACATGCCTGGCACCCATCTCTGTCTGAACACATTCAGAAGAGGAAAGCATGGGCATGCAGTCTCTCCAATCCATGTTCTCATTTCTTTTGCTGCCTGGCCTGGGGGGGGGGCGGTGCGGGGCGGGAGATGATCCTCTTATTAAGCCTAGATCCCAATGCCAGCAGTTGTGGCTGCTGAGAGGAAGCTCCCAAAACACTCCGTTTCCCTCCTGTTTGGACCCTCTCCTCCCAGCCACCTGCTCCTCTGAGTTTTTACACCAGCTCCTGCCAAGGGGCCTTGGAAGGGAAAGTCAGAGCTCAGCACACTTCACTCAAAATGGCCATGGCTCCCAGGATCCCTCGGCAGGCTCTTCCTGGTCTGGTCCTCTTGCTCTAGGGTGATGGGTATTCACTGATCTCCAACCACACCTGCACTGGGTTCTCTAGTACCTTCCATGCTGCTGCTCTGGGCTTGATGTAGCTGCTCCCTCTGTCCCAAGCATCCTTCCCTAAAGTATGCAGGATCTTCTTCCCTCCCTCCCTCCCTCCCTCCCTCCCTTCCTTCCTTCTTTCTTTTTTCTACCCACTTCTCCTTCAACACTGCAATCTGCTCTCACTCCCTCCAGCACCCTTGAGCTGCCTCTGCTTCTCTATTTTTGTATAATACCATCACCTTCTCGTGTACTAGATAATTTAGAGATAATTTAGTTGTTTCCCTTTCTTTAAATTGCTGTTTATCATTCATCCACTCCCTATTAGAAGGCAGGCTCTGTGAAAGCAGTATCACTTTTGATCTGTTTGCTTCTCTGCCCATAGTTGGATGGTAAGTACCCAATGAATAACTGTTGGATGGATGGATGGATGGATGGATATACAGACAGACAGATGAATGGACAGACAAGGAAGGGAATACCTGTCATTCAGGCCTGAGAAAGAAGCTGCATCTTATGGAAAACCCTGTGCAGGGCTGGGGCCTGAGGGCTGCTGAGGAGTGATAATGCTTTTTGTGTAAGGCTGTACCCACAATTTGCCTGGAATTCCCCTTGGAGTCACTTATTAACCATCTCTGACCCCAACATGCACCCAGTCTGCTATTCACCAAGTCCAGACAGCAACTAAAGAATGACTTCAACAACTGACAGGGTACGAACCCACACCAAAGAGCCAACGCTGTCATTCAGGCACCTTGTCTGGAAGCCCAGTATCCCCAGATGAAGAGTAAAGAAAAGGTACGGCAGGAGATGAGTCTCCCAGATCCAGAAACGAGATGCTTACACACCCAGTGTCTAGAGCCTGCGGTGGGGAGGCAGCCCTGCAGGTGTCATGCTGAAGGGGATGTGGTGAGCCAGGTGAAGGAGCAGTCAGAGCCATGAGACCCGAGTGGTAGTGGCTTGATGAATATGAAGCTCACAAATGGTGCAAGAAGGAAGATATGGGGTGGTAGGGTTCAGGAAGCCTAGCCTTGGGGACAGGGAAGTGACTGGACATGAGGTAACATGTCCAAGAAGACGTGGATGCTGAGACAATAAAAAGAGAGGTGTGATAGGTTTCTTTTCTCCTTCTTCCTTCCTTCCCTTCCTTCCTTCCTTCCTTCCTTCCTTCCTTCCTTCCTTCCTTCCTTCCTTCCTCTTTCTTTTTTTTTATGTCTAATGGGTAATATGCCAACATTGTAACAAGGTTTGAGGAAGGAACATATCAACCAAAGGCATGAGCACCTAATCATCACACTCATGAACCAAAAATGGATCACAATAGGTTTCATTTTTCTTTTTCTTTTTTAATTTGTAAAGGAAAGAGGTTTATTTAACCTCCAGTTCTGCAGATACAAGAGCATGGCACTGGCTTTTACTCAGTGAAGGCCCCATGTTGGATGGTATCTTAATGACTGGACTGTTGGCAGATGCCACATAGTAAGATATGAAGGTACAGAGTAGAAGGGGCTAATCTTGATCCTTTAATCAAGACTGATGTCTCATGAGAACCATATTAAGCCCTCTTCGGGAAGCATTCCCACTGACCTAATTATATTGCATTAAATTCTGCCTCCATTTTTTTAAAAAAAAATTTGTTGAGAATTTCACACATGCATATAAGGTGTTTTGATCAAATCCATGCCCACTCCTTCCCTGCCAACTCCTCCCATTATTTCCCCATCACTTTTTTCTGATAACTTCATGTACTCTTTCTTCTTCTTTATTTATTTTTATGGGACTTTTGGCTACTCTAACATTACCCCCTCTGAAGAGGTAACCCTAGAATCTTTTTTAAGGATTAGATAAAAGCTCCCAAATATTTTTGACATTTTTGGCCTTTGGAACAGAGTACGTTGCTAAGAGGCCCAAGGACATTGTGAGTTTTAACTAATAAACTGGCTGCTTTTCTTTGGGGTCTTTTTACCCTAACTGCCTAGCCAGTCCCTACCCCCTATTCTTATCACCATCCTCTGAAGAGGTTACCCAAATTGCCAATAGGGAATCAGGACACAGACTGCTGTGGCTTCTTCCACGCTGGACTCAGGGTGATGCAATTGGAGTACCCCTTCAGTGGGTCTATCTAAAAACTCCCAAATTGCATAACTCTTCTCTCTAGGGGGAAAAGAAAGTCCTTGAATCATGAATAGGAGATGTGAAGGAGAAGTAAAGGCAAGAGTAATTAGCACTAAAAGTTCTAGACAGGGAACCAGAAACAAGCCAGAACAGGGTAATTTTCAAATGTTCATATGAGAGTCCATTAGAATTTCTTGACAAGGGCTTCTGAAAGCATCCCTCTCACAATAAGTTTCTTAAAGGTGCCAGGTGAGCCATGGAATTGGGCTTAAGAAAGACACTTAGGGGCTGGAGAGATGTCTCAGCAGGTAAGAGCACTAGCTAGTCTTCCAGAAAACCTGGGTTCGATTCCTAGTACCCACATGGCAGCTAACAACCATCCAAAATTCCAGTTCCAAGGGATCTGACATCCTCTTCTGGCTTCTAAGAGGCAATACACACACACGGTGCACTTACATATATGCAGGCAAAACACCCATACACATAAAATAAAAATGATAAATAAAATATTTTTTTAAAGAGGTTTAGGATAGAAGATGCAAACAGGATTAATTTGGGGAGGAAAGACTGGAGTCTGTAGATTAGAGTCCACTGTGGGTACCCCAGATGCTTCTCCAAAAGCCAAGGTCGGAGGAGTGATGGGGAGGAAGGAGGAGAAGGCCAGGAGGCAAACTGCACAGTGACCTTCAGGACTCAGCATGCTAGCCAACACCTCGGCTTCGTCTTATTTCATTCAAGTCCTGGACTCTCCCAAAGAGCAGCAATTAACATCTTCATCTTACAGATAAGGAAAATGAGGCTTAGAAATTTGCGCAAGATCACGTTCAGAACTGCCAGGACTGAAACAAGACAAAAACGGGAAAAATAAATAAGACAAAAAAACACTGCCATTTATCTGTCCCAGGAACCAGGCCAGGCACTAAGCTGGCCTCTTATCTCACTTCACAACAATAGGCTTGTCCCTGTGCCCCCATTTTACAGATAGGGACACCAAAGGCCAGAGAAGGGAAACTTATCCACCCAGGGTCACAAAGTGAGGAAGCAATGAAAGTTGAAATTGAACCCAAGCCATCAGGATCCACTCTACCACTCCATGAGACCAACAATGCCATGTTTGTGCCTTGATCTGTGTGGCTGCAGACCCCCATGTCCACCGCCAGCACCCTCTTTCCCAGGCTCCCTAGGAGACACAGAGATGATCTGTTTTTAAGATAGATCATCTGTTTTTAGATAGATCAACCTGCCCACATTCTGAGCTTCCCACTCAGGACCCACCACCAAGATTTACAGCCAGAATTTCTGTAACTGCTGTGGATGGAGGAGTTTAGACTGTTATGGGCAAAGCCAGCTCTTGTACACAGGGAGAGGCTGCATGTTCCACATCCAGCATTATTAGGACCAGACTTGCGTAGGCAACCTTCCAGAAAGCTCAGAGATCCCGTTTAATCCTGTGGGTAGTCTCTGCGCTCCTGAAGGGCAGCAGGTGCAGTCCACCTGTTCTTCATCTCCTGTGGCTGCAGACTCAGAGTCACCTGCCTAGAGGTTCTCCCCATGTGCTGCAAGAATCCCCCCCTCCGCCCCATGTGCAAAGGGCAGGCAGCAAAAGCTGATGGGGCAATTTCATCACTCCAGTGGGCAATAGAGAACAGTGACAGTACAGACCTGGCTTTGAATCTTCACTTCCTTGAAAATTACCCATGCCATCTTAGGCACGTGATTGTACCTGTTTCCTTGTCTAGATGCTGGGCATATGGTAACCAATCTGCTAGACAGGTGGGAACAATTACGTTAACCTGCAGTAGCCAGGAGAGCCTGGAACAGAGCCTGGTCTGAATTAACTGTACTCTGTATTTATAATCTAGATGTCTAGGCCCTGTGTGATGGACAACTGCAAGGCTCCTGCCTGCAGATTTTGCTCTGGCTGGGCATGCAAGGGTATTAAAGGTATGTCTGCACCAGGGGTGGTATGAGATTTCATCACAAATGCAAAAACAGCAGGGACCCAGCTGTGCCAAGACAGCTACACACAACTCACCTTTCTCTTGCTCACTCCTAGGGTCAAAGCACCCAACAGGCCTGCAGAAACCCTGGCTCTGGTTTCACCTAGAAAAAGAAAGAGAGAATTAACATCCAGAAGAAGGTAATAATGAGTATCACCATCAGACCCACCATGTGGAGGGAATAGTCCTTGGATGCCAGCCTTCCAGGGACATGGGAGCTTAAGAGTTGCAGTTATGTGACTGGAGAGATGACTTAGCAGTTAAGAGCACTGGCTGCTCTTGCGGAAGACCCAGGTTCGAGTCCCAGCACCCACATGGCAGCTGACAATTGTAACTCCTGTCACTCAGGTTCGAGGGGAATCTGATGCCCTCTTCCGACCTTTGTGGGCATTTCAGGACATGGGTGCACTTACATACATGCAGGCCATACACTCATACACATAAAATAAAAATAGTAAAATATTTTTAAAAATAGAGTTGCAGCTGCCATTTATTTATGCGTTCATCTCTGAGATGAACCCAGACTGGCCCGACTCACAAGCCTCCTGCCTCAGCCTCCAGAGTGCTGGGATTGTAGGCATGTGACACCACATCTGGCTGACAGCTGCTAATCAATCTTTAATATACAAAAAAAAACCCATGAATTCAGAAGAAGAGAACAAATCCATTCCTTATGTCGACTGGGGTTATGACAAACTGAAGAATACATTAAAATAAAACCCTTGCTTTCTTTAAAAAACAATGAACAAGACCTGGACTAGACTAGATATTACACTGAATACTGATATTTTTCAAGTTTTTAAAAATGGACTTTGACAGCAAAATAATCTATGGTCAAATGTTGAGCTATTCTATTTTCATTGGGCTGTACACATGTGCATTTGGGGGGAGTTTGCACATGTGTGTATTCATGCATGTGTTCATATGTGTGCATATTCGTGTTGCATGAGTTCATGTGCATTGGTGTATATGCATATTTGTGTTGTATACAGGCACTGCCTGCCTGCGTGTGTGTGTGTGTGTGTGTGTGTGTGTGTGTGTGTGTGTGTGTGTGTGTATGTGTGCATGTGGAGGCCAGAGGACAACCTCATGTTGTTCCTTAGACACTGTCCACAATTTTTTTGAAACGGTATCTCTCACTGTCCTCCAGTTCATCAAAGTGGGCCAGGCTGGCTGGCCCGAGTCCCGGGGATCCACCTGCCTCTGCCCACCCAGTGCTGGGGTTATAAACTTGAGCCATCACCAGTCCCAGCTTTTTTTTTTTTTTTGGTCTTTTTGAGACAAAGTCTCCCTGTAGCCCCAGATGGCCTGGAACTTGCTATATAGAACAGGCTGGCCTCCATCTCACAGAGATCCATCTGCCTCTACCTCCCTAGTGCTGGGATTAAAGGTTTATACCACTATGCCCAGATCCAGCTTCTTTATAAAAGCATGTTCTTGACGTGGAACCCAGGAGGCAAGCACTTTACCAACTGAACAATCTCCCCAGCCCTTCACTAGGCCTTTAACACACACTGCTATGGTACTAGTTTTGAATACTTGGACTTGGTGCATGTCTAAATTCATTCAACGGGCCAGTACATTTGCATCATCGAGTTCTACACCTGGCCCTGCAATGCCTTCAATAAACATCGGCTGTACTTTATTCATCACGCATTCCCTTGTGAGTATCTAGAGTGTGAGGCGCTTTCATACCATTTGGGTAATTCCTGAACAAATGTGCAGGTATCAGCAGAGCTGCTGTCGTTGTTGCTGCTAAAACAGATATTTAATCTTTAAATCCAGCCTCTGTTCAATCTAATTCAGACACCAGGAAGAGTAGTATTTCAAATGGTGTTTAAAGATAATAACTCCATTCTAAGCTTCCCCATCATTAGGCTCAAAGAAATCACTGTAGACCCTTAGGTTGGCAAATGAAAACAGAGGAGAAAGACAGGAGGCGAAAAGAACACCATCAGATTTGAAACAGAAAACTCGTAACCTTCACACACAAGAGAAAGGATTGTCTGGGTGACCAAGCCCACGTCACAGCTCCAGGGGTTTCTGAGTTCCTGAGGACAGGGCCCGGCTGGTCCTCTGCAGCCAGCCCCATCAGCCACTGGGTTAGATGGGGGGGGGGGCTTCCTGCACTGTGTCACTCTCCCCCAATCCCAGTGACTTGTCTGTAGGGCCTGCATCCTACCATCACATCCAATCCATGA